CTTCAACGCCCATTCCACCAGATGAGGCTAAAAGGATACAAGAATAGCTGGAAAGGAAACCAGGGCTACAAGGATACAAACATAGCTGGAAAGGAAATTGAAACATGCTAAACCAATAAATGCTAAACAGCAATCCTCTGGAACTTATTTACAGCAATGGGCTAAACAGCAACCCTCTGGAACTTATTTACAGCAATGAGTATCCGGTTACATATTTGCACTAAAATGGAATCAGAACAACTCCTGGTTTACTCTTGGCTTCAAGCGACATCAGTGAGCATACAGGCCTACTTGCTCCTGGCTTCAAGCGACATCAGTGAGCATACACGCCGTATTTCCTCTTGGCTTCAAGCGACATCAGCGAGCATACACGCCGCACGACGATCCTGGTTCTGGTCACAAACCAGTCATTGCTAGTGGCAAGCGACATCAGTGAGCACACACACCGCAAAATAATTGATGATCCTGGTTTTCTGGTCACAAACCAGTCATTGCTAGTATTACCATCGGTTGCAAAAGCATGAGCTGGTCCAATAGCCACGTCATTGCTAGTATTACCATCGGCAGCAAAAGCATATCAAAGGCGCAAAATAAAGACGATCCTGGTTCTGGTCACAAACCAGTCATTGCTAGTGTCCTGGTTCTGGTCCATAGCCACGTCATTGCTAGTATTACCATCGGCAGCAAAAGCATATCAAAGGTCATTGCTAGTATTACCTTCGGCAGCAAAAGCATGGCAAGGATAGTGGCAAATAAGCAATCATGGAACTTCAAGCAGGCTGACTGGTCTAGATTCACAAACCTTTTAGATAATGAACTTCACACAAGCCCCCTCAACTTCAACCAACATCCTGACAAACTTGCAAGGATATCACAAATATTATGATCAGATGTGCAAAGAAAACTATTTCCCAAGGCAAAACTAAACACTATCGAGTGTTTTGGTCTAAACATCTTGAGGAGCTGGAAAGAAAGCGGGACGCCCTTCGCAACACTACTGATCAGACTGGAAGGACGGAAGACGTCAAAGCCTGGAGTTGACAATCAGCTGTCCCAAGGCAAGTCATCTTACAAGCAAAACGGACTTCATTCGACAAGTTAATCTCAAATATCAATTATCAAAGTGATAGCCAACGCACTTTCAAATTTCTGGTATCAAAGTGATAGCCAACGCACTTTCAAATTTCTGAGAAACCTCCAAAGCAACAGAGAAGGACCCAGGAAAGAAACAATGCGTTTAATAATACAAACTACCAATAAGTTTTAAAAACAAACAGCTTACCACCGACTCCAAATATGCTTAAACAGCAAATTGCTTACCACCGACTCCAAAGCGCTTAAACAGCAAATTGCTTACCACCGACAACGAAACAGTTACGCTTAAACAGCAAATTGCTTACCACCGACACCGAACTCCAAATTGCTTACCGCCGACACCGAAATAGCTAACTACATTAGGTTCTATTCCCACAAGCAAAAGAAAAACCCTTTTGTCAGTGCGACACCGAAATAGCTAACTGCTTTGCGAGGTTCTATTCGCACAAGCAAATAGCTAACTGCTTTGCGAGGTTCTATTCCCACAAGGACTAGAAAAACACTTTTGTCAGAAAATCTTCAAGAGATTTAAAGATACTTTGTCAGAAAATCTTCAAGAGATTTAAAACTACAAGTAAGAACAGAAAATCTTCAAGAGATTTAAAGATACAAGTAAGACGGTTTGGTGAAATTAAGGAAGACGAGATACAAGTAAGACAGTTTGGTGAAATTAAGGAAGAAACGAAGATACAAGTAAGACGGTTTGGTGAAATTAAGGAAGACGCAACACTAAATAATGTACTTACTGAACCATTCCGACCTTGCGAACTTAATACTGCAATAAAACAGCTAACGTGCAAGAAGTCACCTGG